TAACAACTCTAATAAATGGAAAAGACAATATATCTGGAAGTTCCAAAATAAGGGTGTTTTGGACCTAGATCATTGGAGAGTATATTATTGGAATGATCAGATGCTATATTAGTATGTGCTCGCTCCGAACACCCATGGTTCATATCATCATTATTAGGATTTGAGTAGCTATTAAATTGATAAGGGGTTTTGTCCATTCAAAATTGGTTTACTAATCAAACTAGCTTAACCATGCTCTTAAAGAAAAAGATAAATAAAAAAAATCTTTTATCTATGAATCTATTACAAAAAAAATTTCTCAACTTTGTTTAGTGGGTCGAACTGCTCGAAATAAACAGTCTAACCAAAACCAATTAGATATTTACTCAGACCAGCCAAGGTGCCTGTCAATAGTCCAACTTCCGGTCTTGTCCGGTCAGATCATGATAACCATGGTTCATAGCGGAGTTGAGTAACTATATTTTAGAAAGAGAAACATGATAATTACAAAAATGGGCAAATATGCAAGGTGAATGTTTCTTTGATACTATTTGCCCAAAAAAAATATTGGTTTGATATTATGTTCCATAGACATATAAGGTATTTAGATATTTCTCCATTGTTGAAAAAAAAAAACCTAATAATAGAGAAATGGATTTCATAGGATTTGAGTTACATTTAAATGGGAAAGTATAGAATAAGGCCATTCACTTTTGGTATTAAGTCAGATATTAATCCTGACTATTGGAAAATTGGGTGGCTATAATTATTCCACTGATCAAGCTCAAACTTCAAAATAATTTTTTTCGAACTTTGTGACAAATCCAAGCTATCAAATTTCGCATCAGATGGTTGTAATTAATTGTGACTACTTTATATTAAAGGTAAATGGTCTCATTGTATGCAATCCCTTTGTTAAGGCATTGACGATTGCAATACTAAATCCCAATTCCAATCTTATTGCTCACAAAATGTTTTCTTGGTAAAAATAATAAACAAAAACAAATTTGTCGACTTCTTTTCCTTACGTAATTTTTTATAACTCAAAAGGTTCGAGCATAATTTTCATGTATTCCCTCGTGTAATTATCAAATTAAATGGCCTCATATTTTGGTGATTTCTTCTTTACAACGCAACAACAACTTCCCAAAAAAAAAGAAGTTCTAACAAATTCCCACGAGGCTTTAGAAAATAATATTCCCAGGTTCAAACTACAAATAATGATTCTAGGAAGAAAATATTTAGACCATTAATTTCCATTACTTTTAGACCGGAATGCCCTGTTTGCATGGATGCTTTACACTTTTTGGACCGCATATGTAGTCCTGCGGTATGCGGCATGAAACAATTTTCCTTCTTTTTACTAAGGAAAACGTTTATATAGAGCCGATGCTCTAAACAATCACATTAGAACCCACATCAAAATTTTCACTAGAGGAAGTTGTTTGATGCCCAAATATCCTCTAATTGATCATATCGACGTCAAGATGCATGGACATGAGAAATGAATTTCAAATTTTGGAAATAGTGCATCTTATAACTCATTTTTGGATCGTCAATTTTCATGACTTTCAAGTTTCCATAGATTTGATCGATCTGCACTATTTTTTAAGCTTTAAATTTTATTACTAAAGATGAAAATATATTTTAAGGTACCATAAAGATTTCCAGTGTTGAAACCATATTTCTCGATGCTGCTTGAAGGTGCCCTCTACTTTGACTATTTAGAACCTCAGTTCTATACAAACCACACCCATTTATGAAAGGTGCATTTCATTGCCCAAATCCCATGAGACTATTCACTTACCAAAAAAGTACAAAATGTAAATTGTATCCTAGATGCAGCATTAGATCCTATACTGTATTGTCGCTTTTAAAATGGGATGTAATTTCGCATTTCTATTAAGGCCTAGGCTTTATGAAAACAAGTAAAGTCTCACTTAAAATTTTCATATGGAAAGCACTTTGAGCATCATAAATCTCTATGATGAGTCAAAATTTAATTTTTAATAATCACTATGAAGTTTTCTGTCAAAAAAAAAAAAAACCCAATATGAAGTTTTAATCTCAAAACTTGTAGTTTTCTATCAAAAAAACCAAAACCCACTATGAAGTTTTAAGCTCAAAACTTGTCGATCCGTGAATACTTATTTTAGGGTGAAATGGACGATCTAGATAATGTGTTATAATATATTCTACTTTTAGGGTTTGAAATACTTTTTTTTTTTCACAACCATAATGGTCAAAGCCAAGATGATCGATTTAATGCCAGACTTACAATTTTTGGTGAATTTTGTATTGAGGCTTTACCAAAACTTTTTCTTTTAAAAAGCTATATAAGATTGTAATCTCATTTGTAGAAACAAAATTACAGTAATCTATATTTTCTCTTTTATATAGATAGTGTAGATTGGACGCTCTCTTAAAATAAATATCATGTATTGATACAATCTTAAAAAACATATCCAACCTATATTTTCGAACTAAAATAGACGGTTCAGAGCATTGCAATATTATTACTACAAATAAAGTTCAGTCTTATGCGTACCGCACCCTATCCAATTACCTTGATCATACATCTAAACCTTTGTAAATTAATTATATAACCCAATTATAAAACCCAAATTGCTTCCTCCATTAAATGAAGTATTTGTAGTGTTTATGTATTTAAACACAACCTCGTGTTACTAGAAAATAATATGAGTATCATTTGCTATGTTTTTATAAAGACAAAAGTTTATATAAGTTGCGACCTTAAATTGTACAATTAAGGTGTGCCTTAGAAATTCATTGTAAAAGGGTGTTTTGAAGTTGGACGATCTTTAAATTGATTATCTTGACTTCGAAATGTATGAATATGAAAAAAAAAAAAAAAAATTTTGAGTCCCAAAAATAGTGCATCTTGCAACACGATATCTAGATCACCTATTTTCAAGTTTTTCATGTGTTGATAGATTTACTTGATTTAAACCATATTTAGATCCAAAATTTTATAATTAGAGATAAAAATGGATTCTCAAGCCATTCTAAAAAAATTTTACACCAAAATTATATCTTATAATAAAATTTGGTGGTGTCCCTTACTTTTACAAAACGTTAATTTTTGTCTTGTAGAGGTGGATATTTGTGCCTTTTAGAATACGGGAATAAAGATCATATCGAGAATCTTTCTCTAACATTATACTTATAACAAAAGAGAGAAGACTATGTTTTGCACCGAAGCTCTAAAACCCAACGGGTTGTTTTTTGGCAAATAAAGAGAGAGAGAAAACACAATAAGCAACAAGTAAAAAAACAAAATAGAAAAAAAATAATACAACAAGAATACTAAGATTTTACATGATTTGTCACAAACATAACAAATTGACAGTACCTGAAAAACCCAAAAACAAAATCAATATGCAGTAAAAACTCTTTCTCAATAGTTTTTTCTCAACGCAACCAAAGTTTCCTTTTTTATCCTATTACTTTCTCTCTCTATAACACAACTTAATATTGAGAAAAGAAACCGATAAAATACCTACCTTACACCTCCTCACCTTTTCCCTAACTTTATGAATATTTAAATTTTTTTTTCTATGCGGACTCCTGTACCTTCCCAATTCAAATAGGCTCACCCAAAACCAATTCAAATTGACATTTTTTTTCTTTGCATTTTTTTTTATTTCTATCCGATGCAATCCAAACAACATACACCATATTTCAAAAAATGTTAATTCTATTAAATCTTAATTTTACGATTGACTTTTCCCAAGATCGAAAAATTCAATGATCCCAACGGTCTCAATAGAATTTGTCTTCCAAAGATCTAATTTCACTTGAAATCTCTTCAAAACTGAATCTCAGATCGATCTTGGTAGTTTACTATCGGAGAACACGATACCCAAATATTTGATAGAAAAATTATCAACCACACAACCCAACCTCAATGCCAAACAATCTTACTAGGTTTGAATTGCATCCAACACCCATCTAAGATGTTTTCGATAAATTAACTTTTAGCCCCAAAGTAACCGAAAAATTAACTTTTAACCCCAAAGTAACCTCATAACATCTCAAAAAGATTAAAATGACGTTAACCTGTTGAATATCAACATCATAAAAGATCAATATATTATCCGCATATTGCCTATGAGAGAGATTTGGGCCACCTATCTAACCATCTGAGAATTCGACGGTCTGTGTGGACTTTTGAGGGAATTAAAAACCAAAAGAAGATTTTCGAGTCCTATAATACATCTAACCATCCAAAATTTGGACGGCCCGTATGCACTTTTCAGGGAATTTTTGTTTTTTCATGCTGTTCCATGGATCTCATAGAAATTTTTAACTTGTTTGTTTTTTAAGGTTGATCATTCATTTGCATAGGTTTATAAAAGAATAAAGTTTATATAAAGTTTGCAATCTTATTTGTAGAAATAATGTTGTCCTACTCTATACGGCCTCCGTCCTTCATTAGGATCGTGTAGATTTGAGGCTTCTTTTTAAACTGACATAAAAAATCAAATTTGACACCAACAAAAAGAAATGTTCTATACCACCCAACTAAAATAGATGGTGCAAAACACTGCAACCACCTTATATAAACCGCACAAAAAGAAAAAGTATGTAGGTGCAGCCGTGGATGCATACTCTTCTGCCCGTGAGAGCAAAACAAAGACAGTCAACCAAACTAAACAGCACTTTTGGAACACATACGTTTTGCTTTTATTTTGGACCCTATAGATTCCTCATATGATTCATACACCTACAACTGTTCTAAATTGGACTATAGAAACACCCAAAAATAAAGCATCTTTGCAATTTATGATGTTTATGCCATAAGAAGCATGGAGCAACTAATCATTCAAAAACTCCCATTTGAAATAGAGTGATTTACGGACCCTAAAATTGTTTCTAAAATATGAAATGCTCTCTGTCTAACCCACATTGTTTTCATGTTTTTCCTTGGTCCAATGATTCCATCCTCATACCTAAAAAAAAATTAAAATTTGGTCCGAACATCCTCGGACCAAGGGGCATTTTTGAAAAAATTAAAAAAATTGGTTGCTATAAACAGAGCATTTCATATTTTAGAAAAAAATTTAGGGTCCCAAATCACTCATCCAAATAATTTAGGGCATTCACCCGAATATAACTGGATCATTAAGGCTTTGAGCACCTTAGAACTAGGCTATAGGTAGAATAACTGAGAGATTCTAAGTCAAAACTCAAAAGGAAAATCAGGGAATCTTATGCCTCATTGAGGCCCTTAAAGAAGAGAGACTCAAGCTCGTGCATTTCTGAAGAACGAAGTGAGAGAGAAACTTCAACTCCACCTTCTTCTTCTCGTGCTACTGCAAGAGCAATCCCTCCTTCCTTGTCAATGGATACCACCTCCACTCTCCTCAGCCTTCCCCATCCAAAACCCATCTCGCAAATGCTGATCCTAGGGGATCCAGCCATCAACAGGTACCAGGACCCCACAAGCTGTGTAAACCAGCTCAGCCATGTCTTGGCATCCCCTAGAGGATCGGCCCTCCCTTTGCGAATCACATTTCCTATGGCCTCTGCAGCCCAAACCATTGCCTCCTCCCCATTCAGTTCCCGACCAGTCCCCTTTGCAAGACAGGGTTATACACTGTTTCCGAAGTATTGCTCTGTTACCTTGGGCTTCAGCTGAGAACGAAAAGCAGCCGGAAATACGTACACCAGGATCGAGTCGTCCCCCAGATTCCTCACTCTCACGGTACACACCCAAATGTGGACCGACACGGCTGCAAAAGTCGAGGGCACGGCTAGGACATTGTCCTTGCTGCTTGTAACCTGTCTCTTTAGCCTTGCAATGCCATCTCATATGAGGAAAGTGGCTCACACTAAACCGTTCATCTTTGGGAATTCTAGGCCAAAGCCCACTCCTTCCTTTGATATTTTGTACCAATCAATGTACCATTTACTGAGTCTGCCAGGATCCGGGAGCACAGAGCGGTCATGGTTTGGGTGGGAGGAGAGGCCCCTGGACCTACAAACCTCTGCCCATGCCTTGAAAAAACTGGTGAAACCTCAGCCATCCACTGCTCCATGATTGAATGACACACCTATGCATAGACCACCATTAGGAAACCTTGCCGCCTGTACAGACACCATGGACGCCGGGAAAAGAGCTGACAGAGGTGGGACTAGCAACTTGAAGATGGTTGTGTCATCGACACAGTTCGTCACAAGAACTTTGTAATCGGCTTCAGTTTCAGCCACATAGAATGCAACCCCTACTCCATCTTTGTAATTAATCTCCAAGTGGTCGGAATCGGCCGATAGTGTGATTTTTCCGGCAAGTGGGTAAAGTACTCAAGGACCATGGAAAGGGAATTCTTGAGCTTGTCTACCAAGTCTGAGAAGTTGGTTTCCTGTTCAAGGGGATTGTAGAAGAAGATCCTTTGAACAGGGGATATAGGAAACCAAAACACATCTAAAAATGTGAGTGGATGGTTGCAGCTGTTTGGGTACACAAGATGGTGATGGGGATACATTAAAAACATCAAGAATTCTAACAGGTGCAGTCATGGTGAAAACTAAGCCAACATTTTGTGTATACTTGCTTGCAAAATTTGAGCTATTACCTTTGAATATATATTGAACGAACAGGACCAGTGAAATTCTAAGTACTAATGACCACATAGCATGTACAGCCTTGTTTGGATACTCAACTGGCCCTATTAAATATTATGCCTATTTAGTAAATAGATAAGCCTAAATATCCATAAATTTCGTGAAGAAATGCATCCATCTCATGACTGCGAGAAATTAAAAAGAATAATAATGGGATCAGTTCTTCATGCATCTTATCACTGGAGGACATAGAAACAAAATTATTGTATGAAGTTTCTATAAAACCCACGTTCTATGAAAACAAAATAAAATCTCACCTCAAATCCTTGTCTGGAAAGTACTTTCGGCAACGGAAATATCCATGATGGCTCTAAAATCGATTTCCAACACCAACAATAAAATTTGAAATTCTTGAATCATTTGCATCTTCTAAGAAGACCAATTTCTGGAGTTCTAGAGAGAAGCCGTGCTGGTAATAAATCTATTCTAAACGGAAACAGATATCTCAAAGAGAATAAGCCCAACCAAAACTGTCCTTCACCGACAACATTATAATAATATCATCAATTTGAGTTCGCTAACGTGCAAGAACTCTAAGCCGCCTAACGAGATCAGTTTGATGCATGAGTCACAACACCATGGTCCAATATTCAACCCAAAAAGGGTATGCATAGGTGTAGTGGAGGACTAGCTTCAAGGAGAAGTAAGTCAGGACTTCAAATAATCTTTCCCACATACTCAGAGCATAGAATAAGTTCTAAGGAAGCAAGCTCAATAATCTGCACCCTCCCTCCCTCATCATAGAGCTCAGTAGTAACAGAATCATGTGCAAGGGATTTATTTCCAAGCTAAGGAACTCAAATGAGAAACCATAAAATAGATCATTTCTAATGGCCATTATGAAGAAATTCCTCATCCTTCGCTTTGATTGTAACACCTCACTCTTTGTCGACTAAGCATAATCAAAACTAGACGGCTGGAACCAGTAACAGCCAGTCCTGGTTAATTGTGATTCTGTTTTGGGAATATTATTCACTATGGGCAAAATAGTTAAAATCCAGGCCAGACTAAACTATGTAGTAAATTTTTATTTAAGGTTCCGTATTTTTAAAATTAGACATTCGTCAGATCTAACATACATATATTAGTCTGCAGTCAAGGATAGGACACATCTGGTTCAGTGATAAAGATTGCTCTAAATTTTACTATCTATTTATTTTTAGACTTTTCTTCCTATTGTGAAAACCAATTTAAATTATCTTGTTTTATAATAGTTGGATTTCTTTTACTCAAGGATATAGTTAACTTTTACAGTTAACTTTTTTAGCTTTAAAATTTCATAATTTAGTAATTTTGTCTTCATGGCATTAGCAAAAGAAATTTTTTTTTAAGGATTAATTTGAGATCTCCATCTTTTCTTTATTATTTTTTTTAATGTTAATTTGGGACTTGGTGAGACTTCTACCAACTCTGCCAAGAGCCCATTCTCCATTCGGCTCCATATAGATATATATATATATATATATATATATATATATAAGAAA